CGCTCCTCTTCATGATGGCGGCTCTTGGGTCGGACGCCACGGCGCGGAAAGCGAGGAGGAGGAGGAGGAGGAGGAGGAGGTTGGCAGCGACGTTAACGCTGAGGCTCGTGGCCGTACCAAGGAAGCCCTGGCCGCTTAAGCAGCACCGCCAGTCGACAAAAACAAGACGAGAAACAAAAACAAAACCTCCAACCAAAATACAGGACAATTCTTTGGGAGTCACCACAATTCGGTAATAGCTGGAAGAGACACGAAGATTGTAGTGATAATGACGGTAATAATTTCAGGGTAGGCTGTGGCTCCAAGGACGGAGTTTGTGGCAAGTTTGGATGACGGAGTGACTACTTATTAAATGGCTTGGATATCCTACGGGGTAGTTTCTATTATTAGTGTGCTCTTAATACCATGTGTTTGTCATTGCCGAACGCCCCCGTGCGAGGGTTATGCTCATGTCGTCATGTGAATAGACTTTGGTTGTCTCTGCTGCGATGGGATGTACATTGGGGTGGCATGTGTATGCAGTACGGGGGGTATCATTCTATGCATTGCGCTCAAACAACCTGTCGCCCGCTGACCTGGCTTGCAAACTCCTCCAGCTCCATCCTGACTATATGATGCCCCGGGACGACAACCAGTCCTAGATAGCGCGACGTCCTGTCCTCGGTCGTGCTGCCGTCCGGACCCTCCACCAGCCGAGGGCGGCTGGGCTGGCGGTACTCGTACGTGTTTGCCAGCACGATATTTTTGTCCTTTGTATAGTTGGTTAGTTGTGCTCTCGAACGAATATATTGCAGGTTGCGGTGCTTTGCCAAAGACGGGGCCTCCTCCCAGGATGCCATGGACAAAAAAAGGTTCGTTGTGTGGCGGCAGACGTACCGGGTCGGTGCATTTGAAGGCGCCCCAGAAGAGGCGGCCGTCTGTGGTGTGCACGCGGAGGTTTTGGTTGAGGAGCGAGGAGAGGTATTCCTGGGCCTGGAACTTGTCCATTGTGGTTTTATCTTTATTTTTCTTGGGCTGGTGTCGAGGAGTTGATGGTGGAGAAGGGCGCTGTGGTGTTAAGGTGGGAACTTGTGCTTTACGGCTTAATAAGCTTGTTTGGTGCTGGGCTGATGGGCTTTGAGGTACCGTGCGGTGAATGATTGTCGAATATTTTACTGACTTGATGGGGATTGAAGTCTGAGACGTGCGATTAGCGTCAAATTTTTACTTTGGGTGAATGCGCTTGTTGGGTGATGATGGTTGCTCGGGGTTGGGGGTTGACTGCTTTTTTGGATGGATCTCTCGGAAGCTTGCGGTGTTGTGCAAGTGGTTGCGATTGACACTCGGGGAAATTGAAATTGAGACTGTGATTTTGTCTCATGGCGATATATCCGTCTGCGAGCATTGTGTGCATTCTAGGACTCTGTGGACAAGAGGTTGGCGGCTTAATTTGCCATGGGCCAACTAGGTAGCTGTCGAGATGGCAATGTATTGAACAATGGAATCCATATTGGTTGTGCTGCATCGACTGTCATGTTGATTTTCAAAATTTTGACGAATGGGTTCAACTCGATGGACTGTAGGGATTGATCCGGGCCCAAAATCACGCTCTGGATTGTATCGCTTCTCCGTAAGAGGATGAACTTTGGCCACGCGCCTAGCGCTAATTTTCTTTGCGTGGCGATGCTTCTTCAGTTCTGCCTCGAACAGCGACGGAGTCTCCCAGTTTCTGGCAGATCGTCTGACGAGCACCTGCAAGCCTCCTACCTAATGCTGCGGCATCTGCAAGGCAAATGCCATCCTCAATAAGCAAATTTTCAATATTCTATTCATTTTTTTTTTTAGAAAAAAAATCTAGCCGAAGCTTTTCTGAGCATTCCAATGGTCATTGTGTGGCATCGTGGCAGTAGGTTGACGTCGACAGCTGGACTCTGGAGGCTAAGAGCCGTAGAGCCGCAAGGAGTCGAGGACCCACAATTCGGCTCAAGTGCGTCACAGAGTCGCACTCTCTCAAGATTCACAGCCGGACCGAGTCATCGTGAACCACGTCAACTTTTCAGTTTCAACGACACAGACATGCCTCTTGTGCTTATGTTTTCCTCGTAGCCATGGAATCTGGCTGCCTCAAAATCAAAAACCATGCCATCAATACACCAAAGTTAATCTGAGACAACCGTTGCTAGCAGAGGCCTGCCGCTATGGGTGTGAACGGCCTCTGGACCGTTGTGCAGCCATGTGCGCGTCCAACCAATCTCGCAACACTCAATCGCAAGCGCTTAGCTGTCGATGCCTCCATCTGGATTTACCAGTTCCTCAAAGCTGTCCGAGACAAAGAAGGCAATGCCCTGCGCAACTCCCATGTAGTCGGCTTCTTCCGCCGCATTTGCAAGTTGCTGTGGTTCGGCATCCAACCTGTGTTCGTGTTTGACGGTGGCGCACCAGCACTCAAGAGAGCAACCATCCAAAGAAGGCAGAGAAGGCGCGAGGGCCGCAGAGAAGATGCGGTTAGAACTGCGGGGAAGCTTCTCGCTGTGCAGATGCAGCGCATCGCCGTCGAGGAACAAGAGAGGCGGAAGCGAGTCGACGACGGCGACTTTGCAGTCAGAGAGGAGGAAGCACTACGCGAAGAAATCCCCGATGCAAGTAACATCGCGTACGTTGACGAAATTGGTATGACGCAGAAGGAAAAGATGCAATCTCGACGATTTCATAAACAGGATGCCTATCATCTTCCCGAGCTTGAAGGTGGTATCGCACCCATGGGTAAATCAGACGACCCGCGAATCATGAGCATTGAGGAGTTGGAAGAGTATGCGCGGCAATTTAACAATGGTGAAGACATCAACCTCTATGACTTCAGCAAGATTGACTTCGACGGCGATTTTTTCAAGAGCCTGCCCCCTCCTGATCGTTACAATATCTTGAATGCAGCGAGACTGAGAAGCAGGCTGAGAATGGGTCTTAGCAAGGACCAGTTGGACGACATGTTCCCCGATCGTATGGCATTCTCGAGATTTCAGATTGAACGTGTCAAGGAGAGAAATCATCTTACCCAAAGGCTGATGTATGAGGTTGGCATGGTTGGCACAGATTTGACGCTAGGCGTCAACGCTCGTGTTGCTGGAGAAAAGGACCGCGAGTACATCCTGGTCAAGAATGAGGGTGTTGAAGGCGGATGGGCACTTGGTGTCGTCAGCAAAGAGAAGGATATTGGTGAGGCGCATAAGCCAATTGATGTGGATGCTATTCAAGTTCATTACCAAACAAAAAACGAGCAGGATGCAGAGGAGGATGACGATGCTGATTTTGAGGACGTCCCCATTGAGGGATTAAATCGACTACCAAAGCCAAAGCCGTATTCCACAGCTGCAAGCTTACAAACTGCGCAAGAGATTGCTGAACGGCGGCAGCAATATTATGGTAGCCGAAAGGACAGGTTTGCAGAAGACCAGGAGGTGGAAGGCTCACTATTTGTTGGAGGGAATTCGGGCCAAAACGTCCCCATTCTCGAGGCGACAGCCCAAGACCAACTGCATCCTGAGGAAGAAGATGACTTGAATCGTGCGATTGCCTTGTCTCTCAAAAACCAGCATGAGCTGGATAACGAGTCTGGGATCGATGACCTTTTCGAAGATGTGCCAATAGATGAACCCGAATGGACACAAAAAGCCGTCGACGCACCAAGGCCCATTATCGGCAAGGGAGGCTCCATGATTGCCCACATTGTGAACAATCGAGCAAATGCCTCTGTCCCAAAGCGCAATGAGGCAAAGAATTCTATCGATAGTGATAGCGAGGATGATATGGAGGCTTTGCTGGCCAAGTCACGAATGGCCAAACGGGCTCAACCGAAACCAGTCATTGAGAATAAGAAGAACCCATTTGATGGACCACTTCCATTCCCAAAGCTAGATTGGGGCTCATCGCTATTTTCTAAACCGCCTGCTCAGAAGGACGCAAATAAAGTTATTCAAGCTGGTATTGCAAATGAGACCAATGCTGAGGATGACATGGCTGGCGGGTTTGAAGTAGAGAAACAACTTGGAGATGAGCCAGCACCATTACCACCATGGCTGGTTGACGACACGGATATCAGAGATTCGTTGAAGCAGCAGCAGGACGCAGAGCGGGAGATAAATGCTGAGGATAAATTGGAGGCAGAAGAGGAAGAACGCCTTCGACGGAAGGAGATGCAGGACCGCATGATTGAGATTGATTCATCGTCAGACGACGGAAGCGATATTCAGATTGTAGAGATTCCTCCTTCGCCGACACCAGTAGCGGATGAGGCGGATGGCAAACAGGTGCCAGCCGAAGAATCACAGGCGCAAACATCCCCGAGCAAGCGGAATAGGCCAGTAGAATCCCCGGATTCAATATCTGAAGATGTAACACCTCCGGCCGCCAAAAGTCCCTCTTCAACGGGACTTGAAAACGAATCGGAGTCCCCAGAACCAATGTTTGAAGATGTTCTCCCCGCGGAACCAACCATCACTACTCCCCGCAAACCAACAGAGAACGACTCGTCATCTCCCCTGTTCGAAGACGTCCCGCCAGTACATCCCCCAGTCTCGGGCACTGCCAACCCTGCCACAGAGGCCGACGATCCCTTCGCCGACGTTGAATACGAAGAATTCAGCGATCCCGAGGATGAAGAGCTCATGGCCCAAATGGCCGAAGAAGCCGAGGAGCACGCTCGCTTCGCCAGCGAGCTCAACAACAAATCCGCTCAACAAAATCGTCAAGACTATGAAAAGGAGCTCCGGCAGCTTCGTAACCAACAAAAGAAGGATCGTCGCGACGCAGACGAGGTCACACAAGTCATGATTACGGAGTGCCAAGCCCTCCTTCGACTCTTTGGTATTCCCTACATCACCGCTCCCATGGAGGCAGAGGCCCAGTGCGCCGAGCTCGTAAGGCTAGGCATCGTGGATGGCATCGTGACGGATGACTCCGACACGTTCCTGTTTGGAGGCACGAGGGTGTACAAGAACATGTTCAACAGTAACAAGTTTGTGGAGTGCTACATCAGCAAGGATCTGGAAAAGGAACTGTCCCTTTCCCGAGACCAACTCATTTCACTCGCGCAGCTCCTCGGATCCGATTACACGGAGGGTCTGCCGGGCGTAGGGCCCGTCACGGCTGTCGAGATCCTGTCGGAATTTCCTGGAAAATCAGGCCTGGAGGACTTCCGCGAGTGGTGGACTTCTGTGCAGTCGCAGTCTCGCCCAAAGGAAGCAGATGCGGCGTCGCCGTTTCGCAAGAAGTTCCGCAAGACGCAGGCCACGAAGCTGTTCTTGCCACCGGGTTTCCCCAATCCAGCCGTGTATGAGGCGTATCTGCACCCCGAGGTGGACGACACTGCTGAACCGTTCCAGTGGGGCGTGCCTGATCTAGAGGGACTGCGAAGGTTTCTGATGGCGACCATCGGGTGGAGCAAGGAGCGAACGGATGAGGTGCTGGTCCCCGTGATAAGGGATATGAATAAGCGCGATATGGAAGGGACGCAGAGCAATATCACGAGGTTCTTTGGCGGTGGCGTGGGTGCTGGAGCGAGGGAGGCGTTTGCGCCAAGGGCGAACAAGGTCAAGGGGAGCAAGAGAATGGCGGCCGCGGTCGAGAAGCTGAGGGCGAATATGGGAGATGCAGAGGGTGAGGGGACGAATAAGAGGAGGAGAAGGGATGTAGTTGACGACGATGGATGATGTCTGCACTTGTGTACTTGTTATATGTTGTACAGTCACCTAGGACGCACCAAACGGCGTGCGGTAGGAGGCCAAGGGTGCTTTGATGGGTAATGTACGTGCTATGCCGTGCTTCACGGCAATACACTGGGATACATGAGCGGATGCTTGGCTATGGGTGAACACATAGCATGAGGGGGCTATCTTGATCACAGCTAGGCGTGTTGAGGCCGCGATGAGGTGAGTCCTGTCGATAGTTATATCGATCCCCGTGGTATCTTTTTCCGCGCTTGAGGTGCCCGAAAACGCAATCGTTAGCATCGATCGACAAGATATAGATGTATTAATCAATATTCTTCAGAATTCAGACTTCATATACCCGTAAGGACTGTTCCGGGAATCGTATCCAACAACAGAGAATTTGTCTAGTCAAATGTCTTCCACCTCCCACCTCAGCTGCCCATACTGCAACTAGCAGTAAATGGCCAAGACGGAAAATGGATTCCAGTTGGGATCTGGTTTGGATGCCCTTTTGTTGGCAACCAAACGCTCCGAAGACGGCGACTGCTCTGATTTCTCGGTGAGTCTCGTAGAAAGCGACGTCAACCAGCAATGAGCATCCTTGAATATCCCAAATCGGGGCAGCCAATCCAATCAGCACTGGGCCCCAATCAAGTCGGACACATTTTCAAACTCGTCGCCGACGGATTCCTCACTCTCGTCTGCTTCCCCAGCTTGTCTCAGCGTAGTCTCCTTCCACTTCTTTCTCCGTTTCGCAATCGCCCGAGTAGCCTTTTCGCTACGAGTTTGAACATTCTTGGCAACCATGTAAAACGATGAAGTTGTCTGGTAGTGATGGCGATGTTTGAATAAGCTGATTTCCGAAAACTGCGAAAACAATCTCAGCAGCTCCGTCGTGGGTGGATTTTCTGGCTTGCGCATCAACACAACCATGGTCCCATTCTCCCGCAGATTCTCCGTGGCGAGGATGAGCTGGGCCGTCTGGATGCGAATATACTCCGGGCTGTCGCTCCGTAGTTTTCTTTCGCAGGGCGGTATTTTGCCCTTCCTGGGCGGTTTTTTTCTTTTCGCTTTTCTCGCCGGTAGCTCCTTGCAGAGTACTCTCTCCATGGTCAAGGATGGCGTCATTTGGTGCGTCTCAGGGATGTCGGACACTCCCAAGTCCCCTGCAAGCGTGCCGACATTCTTAACCACCGATTGTACGTTCTCGCTTTCGAAGCCAACCGGGCACCCTCCCTCCTCGCTTGGCATCGAGATGCCTGTGATCTTTGTGTTGGGGTAGCATTCCAGGGTGTACACTGTGACGACTTTCTCCGAGTATTTGTAATATTTTTTGTTCTTTATCTAGTTGCCGGCACATGTCGCGCCGCCTTTTGAGGTAGGCGTCCTGTTCCGTTTCTATGGCTTGTCGTTTTGCGTTTTCCATTGCTTCTTCTTTAGACAAGCTTTTGTGCGCCTTTTTTAGTATTCGTCTGCCTCTAGAAGATTCGAGACCTATCTGCGGTTAGCTGGGGGGAAGGGACATATGGACGAGATGGGGATGAATTTATATCTTACCTCTTTACGAATCTCGGGGACTATTCTCAAGAAGAAACTCTGTAAACTGCGTCTGGGCTGGACGCTCCATTCTCAAACTTGAAGAGGACGAGGCAGTCATTTCGGTTGCTGTTGGAGAATGCTGAAGCTCTTGATAGAATAGAGGTGCTCGACTTGTGTCTTCTTAATACAGACAACTCGTTAGCCGGCCCGAGCGTGCTGTGTTTGTCCATGGTTGAAGAGTAGGCATGGCTGAAAGGAGAAAATCTTGGGTTTACATATGGTACTGATACGGCTTGGTTGGTGAGCTTGACTGATTGAGAACACTTTCTGAACATGTCTGGTGTTCCCTGGGTAATGGGAAACAGGCGGATTCCTGCAGCAAAAGCAGTCAAGATATATAGCTACGGAACTGCAGCCTTGTGTCCGAGGAGGCAGCCTGTTCATTCAACCTCAATATGTAAGCCTCAAATGACACGTTTCAGGAGTCTTGTTCAAACTGTATCCCGTCACTCTCCGGGGCTTTTATTATTATTATTATTATTATTATTTTTTTTCTTTTTTTTTTTTTTTTTTTCTCTCTCTTTTTTCTTTTAAAGGCTAGAACCGAAGGAAGAATCGTTTTAGAATAATGACTGCAGCTATTATACGTATTCCCCATATATAGCCCCTATAAAACTAGAAGCATAGTTTTGTGGCATTCACACTATAGAACACATCAAGGTAGCGGTTAAGACGAGATGGAGCGTTTATCAGATAGCCTTAACGAGTTTATATTATCTGGTAATTATTTTTTTTCTTTTTTTTTTTTTTTTTTGCTCTCTCTGCTTACTCTTTCACTTACACCCGTTGCTTATGAGCCGAACTAGGAAGGCACATGGTCCCGGGTAGCCCCACATGCCGCGCACAACATGATCGGCTAAACGTCGGCCGCGTCAACGTCGTAACTGGCCGGGCAAGGGGGGTGGCACGGGGGTGAAGTAGGGTGAAGACACCACACACGGTCCCTAGAATCTCACGCGATCAAACGCCGAAGACATTTGTTCCCACCCCACGGCACCATCTGCCCAACTCCGGTCGCGAGCAAAGCCACCTTTGAGCCTAAGAAACCTAACGACCACCTTCCGACCACACACGGCTCATCGTCGCTGCGCATTGCTGTCGGCCATCGTCGTAGTCGCCATGGATCAACGAGAGCTTGAGTCGCGTGTAAAAGCGCTGACGAAGTCGGTTGCTGCCAACGAACCGCCCGAGAACGCCATCAAGTTGCTGGAATCGCTAAAAAAGGATGCCAAGCCTACAGAGGAGATGCTGAGGGTACGTTTTCAGCGCTTTCTTGCCTTGCGAGTTGAGGACACGGAGGATGCAGATGTCGTGGGATGACTTGTCACGACGTCATGCCTTGCTTACATCAAACCCTCATACACCATGGGAGCTTCGTGCGGGCGCATCACATCATCTTGTCCAACATTGGCCCACCGCTCTGTGGCCGTCCTTACCTCCTTTTCCTATCCAGATCTCTAACGTCGCTTTCAACAGGCTACAAAGGCCGGTGTTTTCGTCGCAAAGCTTCGAGCAAACCCCAACAAGGAAATTGCAAGATCAGCCGCCGAACTCGTCATCAAGTGGAAGAAGCTCGTCGAACAAGAGAAGGCCTCAAGGGCGCAGCGGCCAAAGATGGGCTCACCGGCTGCGGCGCCGGCCTCGTCTCCAGTTCCGCAAGCTTGCTCTGCCGCCGGTGCCAAGAGGGCCTTTACGGGCGACCCCGAGAAGCGTAGCTTTACTGCCGACGGCGTTGAGCTCAAGCGAACCAGCTCGGGCGTCCGAGACAGGTGCATTGGACTCATCTACAATGGTCTTGCGTATCGGTCGACCGAGTCTTCGGATGATGTCATCGCCAGGGCTGTTGCCGTGGAACATGCCGTCTTCGTCGAGTTCAAGGAAGACGAAGGTGAGGGATACAAGAAGAAGATAAGATCCCTCTTTGCGAATCTCAAGACAAAGTCGAACAAGGACCTCGGCAAACGTGTCATGTCGGGAGACATACTACCCGAAAAGTTCGCCAAGATGACCGACGAAGAACTCAAGAGTGAAGACCAGCGCAAGAAGGAGATTGAGCTGGAGAAGGAGAATATGAAGAGGGCCCAGGTCCCCATGGCCGAGAAGAGCATCAGCGATAGTTTGGAATGTAGCCGTTGCAAGATGAAGAAGGTCAGCTACACGCAGGCTCAGACCAGAAGCGCAGATGAACCGATGACGACGTTTTGCGAGTGCATGAACTGCGGCCACAGGTGGAAGGTATGTCGGGCTGCAAACCAAGCTCCCAGTCAGGTTCGTCCCTATTGCTGACATTTTGCGACTAGTTCTCTTAAACACAGACCACGAAGAAAAAATGTCACTTTGGCTGTATAACATTTACTATTCTACAGGGGACGCAAAGCACGTGAGGTGAAAAAGGTTAGGAGAGGCTAGCGTTTCTATTCGTTCTACAGTTTTCCGGGTGTTGGTTTGCATTTAGGAGTGCGGGTTGGGCCGTCTGCAAGACGACGATATAATTAGGACGGGAGTTACAGGTTTGCTAATACACCAGGTCAGACACAATTTTTTCTTCTCCCTCTTTACATTTTTCTTTGTACACGATGGAGCGCGCGAGCCTAGATTCAACAATCTAGTGAGGAGAGTCCAGAGAAGTCGGAGGAACAGCCCGGACCAGGGACCTGTGAGACGCATGGAGAGTTGCTCTTGCTGAAAGGATACAATCAGTGCGTAGATTATACAAATGCCTGGCTGTGCTACAGGGCGACCGTTACCGAATCTATCGTGACACTGACGGCATTATTCGGGTGTGGTTCTTCTTGGTATCATATTATGAATAAAGGTGTCGTGTTCTCACTTCCGCTGCCTTGTTATACCCAGCCCGTCAAACAGATCCGAAGCCTCCTCATCCTCCAGCCCCATTTCCTTGATCCTCTTCCAAAACTTACTCAAATGTCTCGTGCCCGAATCGCAAAGCACCGTAACAATCCTGCTGCCCTCCGGTAGCCCCATGGCCGTAACCACGGCGGCCACGCAGTTCACGCTGCTGCTGCTCCCGACAAATATGCCGTCATTCTCGACCAGCCACCTGGCCATACGGCACGCCTGCTCGTCCGTCACCTTGACCGCGTCGTCGATCAGATCCCTCCCCGCCTCAAAGTTCTCCGTCACGCGGTTGATGCCGATTCCCTCCACCATGGAATCGACCTGTTGCCGGCGGCGGGTGCCCTCCTTCTCAGTGTTGGAGTACATGACGCCGTGCTTCACCTTGTTGAACAGGCCGCTGCCCTGGGGGTCCGCCAGCACGATTTTGACGGTGCTTGCTTTGGCACCGAGCTTCAAGTACCGGGCCACGCCGGCCACGGTGCCTCCCGTCCCGGCGCCGGCAACAAACGCGTCGAGGTCGCCGCCTGTCTGGTTCCAGATTTCGGGCCCCGTGGTGTTGAGGTGCGCGTGCCAGTTGGCCTCGCTCTCAAACTGGTTCGCAAAGAACCCCCTGCTCCCGTCCGTGGAGTTGGCCGTGTGAGCGTCTGCCCGGCGACGAGCAAGGTTGACAAAGTGGTCTGGGCTGGTGATGGGTGCGACGGCGACGCGCTCGACAGTGGCACCGAGGTGGTGAAGCAGGTCGGACTTCTCGAGGGCCTGGTCGTCGGGCATGCATATGTGTGCCTTGTAGCCCCTCGCGCGGGCCAGCGTGGCCAGCGAGATGCCCGTGCTGCCAACTGTGCCCTCGTAGATGGTGTCGCCGCGGTGAGGCACGAGCAGGCCGGCCTTTTCGGCTTCCTGGATCATGTTCAGCGCCACGCGGTCCTTGGGGCTGTTCCCGGCCCCGTTGAGGAACTCGGCCTTGGCGAGGATGACGCGCCCCGTTGCTTTGGACAGCGACTCGATTTCAATGAGCGGCGTGTTGCCGATGCATGCTGCGATGCCGGCCCCGGCCCCGGGCTCCCCGCGGCTCGGAGACGGCGGTTGCGACTCGTGGTCTTCTAGTTTGAGAGGCTGGCCCCAGAATAAGCTGCTTCGTCGACGGTCGCCGGGACGAGCTTGTGAGGGGCGGCGCGTGTGCTGATAGCGGTACTCTAGATCGGGGTATAAGTCTTTGAAGCCGAGTGTGACGAGGATGCCTGCCCCGAAGGCCAATGCAACGGCTGCGGAGCCGTAGGCCCTGGGATGATCACTTAGTGACATGGCTTGCAGGTCATGAAGTCATTTCAAAAGATCCGGAAATGCGCCTAGGGCTCGAATTTGCGTCGAGAGGTTGTTCTTCTATCAAATTTTGTGGTGTGTGCCTGAACAAATCTGATTTCATGAGAATTGGCATCAAGAAGGTTTATGAGTTCCGTGGGAAGGCAACAGGGCAGCCACTCAGACGCTGGAACAAGGTGCTCAGGACCCACTCAATCTTGGAGCTTTCTCAAATCAGCCAGAGACGAATTAGTATCGACAAACCCTGGCTACCGTCACGAGAGCATCACGAGAGCTCAACCTGCATCTCGCCAGCCATGGACTCCCCCATCGTGGCCCAGCTCTTCCGGCAGCTGTTTTGCAATCGTCCCGCAGGATGCCAAGCGCGGGTGCATCAATTGCGCCGTGGATTGCCTGCGGCCACCACAAGCAGCTACCGGCACCAGCACCACCAGCAGACGAGTTCGTACGCTACGCGAGCCTCCCGAGACCGTGGCATGAAGTCAAATGAAAGTCGATGGCAGCAGAGAACGAACCTCCTACCCGAAGACAGACGGGAGGAGTTCGCGCAGTACCCGTATATTTCCATGTCGGAGCTGAAGAGGCGCAAGGAGCGGCCTAGAAAAGTCAAGATGCTCCTCCGTGACTTTATCGACGGTAAGCACGCGTTGTATTTTCCCGCCGCAAACTTTACGTATTCGTACGTTGCTAACAATTATGAATTAGACAGCTTATACAACCCTTCCTATGGGTACTTTTCCAAGCAAGCCGTCATCTTCTCCCCGGGTGAACCTTTCGACTTCACCACTCTCCGCGACGACCTTGCCTTCCAGTCCGAGCTCGGCCGCCGCTACACCTCCTTTGAAGACCACCTCGACGACGTCGAAGGCGAGAACCCAACCCGCCAGCTGTGGCACACGCCCACGGAGCTCTTCCGTCCATACTACGGCGAGGCCATCGCCCGCTACCTCGTCACCAACTACCGCCTAACCACCTACCCCTACGACGACCTGCTCATCTACGAAATGGGCGCCGGCAGAGGCACCCTCATGCTCAACATACTCGACTACATCCGCGAAGTAGACCCCCAAGTGTACGCCCGCACGCGGTACAACATCATTGAGATCTCCACCAACCTCGCCTCCCTCCAGAACAAGCACCTCCTGTCGACGGCCGAGTCGCGCGGCCACACGGACAAGGTGGACATTGTCAACCGCTCCATCTTCGGATGGGACCAGTACGTCCCCTCGCCGTGCTTCTTCCTCGCCATGGAGGTCTTTGACAACTTCTCCCACGACTGCATCCGGTACGACGTCGCCACGGAGGAGCCGCTCCAGGGACACGTGCTCATCGACGGCGACGGCGACTTCTACGAGTTCTACGTCCACGACCTGGACCCCGTGGCCGCGCGCTTCTTCCGCGTACGCCACGCCGCTACGGGGGGCAGCTATCCGCGTCCGTACCCCACGAACCCTGCGCTCAAGTGGCTGTCCACCAGGATGCCCTTTGCCGCCAACCTCTCCGAGGCCGAGTACATTCCCACCCGCCTGATGCAGTTCTTCGACGTGCTGGAAAAGTACTTTCCGGCCCACAAGCTGCTCACCTCAGACTTTGACTGGCTTCCGCAGGCCGTCAAGGGGCTGAACGCTCCCGTTGTGCAGACGAGGTATCATCGGAGAATGGTGCCCGTCACAACGCCGCTGGTACGTACAACCCGCCAGGGACCCTGATTCCAAAGCAGGAACCATGTCCCTTCTTCTCTTTGATATGCCCTGCCCGTGTGCTGCTGACACTGTCCCAGGTCCACCAAGGCTACTTTGACATCTTGTTCCCAACAGACTTTCGCGTCACAGAGGCCATGTACCGCGCCATCACGGGCAAGCTCACGCGCGTCATGACCCACGGCGACTTCATGCGGCGCTGGGCGTACGTGGAGGACACGGAGACGAGGAGCGGCGAGAATCCCCTGTTGACGTACTACAAGAATGCTAGTGTTCTAGTCACCGTCTAGTGTGTGAATAGACAGCTGTATATATGTATCATAGACCGAGACGCATACCCGACACCTACGCAAGGTAAATAGAACCTATTCCATCGTTTCAAATCGTGCCATTGTTACACGACGAAAAATGAAATAAAGAAAAAATTCACATAAGTCTTGATTGGTATTTACCATGTCCCTTGTACCAAGTCACTCATCCATCCATGCCGTTGTTAAATACATAGGCTCCCACGGTTCCCATAAACCACAACACCCACAACACCTATATACAATGCTTTAGAGCTTTTCTTCGAGCCATTTCCTTGCTGCTTCGACCGCATCATCAATCTTCTCGGGTTTCGTGCCCTGGCCCTGGCGCGTGGGCTCTTTACCACCTGACCGGCCGCCTACGACGTCTGATACCACCGACGCCCATTGCTCGGCGGTGACACCCTTGGATGCAAGGCCCTGAGGGAAAGAGACAAAAAACGTTAATCATCAAAATCATATGGTGAATGAGTAAGAGAACTTACGGATCCGACATAGACGCCGTGCACAACGGCACCTTCTTCCTGACTGCCTCCGAAAACATACACGGACTTGGTCTTGTCCTTGGCCTGGAAGTGCTTGAACACTTCTGTCAGAGCCTTGGCGTTGGCACTGATGGGGAGACGGCCGACGAAATAGTCGGCTTCCTTCTTCTCCTCAAAGTGCTTGACGACGCAGCCTACAGCCGCACCGGCCTCGGCCTTCTGGCGTTTCTTCTGCTCGGCGACGACAGACGTCGCAATCTTCTGGAAGCGTGTGTTGAGCTCGTCCTTGGCAAGGGTAGAAATGACGAGCTGGCTGAGCTCCTGTGAAATGACCTTGGTTTGGGCGTCCTTCGCAGGGCCAAAGGGCATGGCTTCGAGGACATCTAGCTTCTTGGAGAACTCGGCCGCCTCGCGCTGTACTTGATGCGCCGCATCGCCAGTGTAGGCAATAATGCGGCGGATACCCTTGGCAATGCCGCTCTCTTCGACCAGGATAAGGTCCTTAATCAGCCCGGTCTGCTCGACGTGGGTACCGCCGCAAAATTCGACACTGTATTGACGCCACTCCTGCTTCTTGGGGTCCTTGAGCATGGTGTCCACGTCCATGCCAATGGAGACGACCCTCACAGGGTTGGGGTACGTTTCGCCAAAGACGGCACGGACTCCCTCGATCTGGCGCGCGAGATCTAGATCCACGTCTTTAGAGAAGATCTTTGAGTTGCGGCGGATGTATTCGTTGCTGAGGGTTTCAATCTTGCGAAGCTCCTCAATCTTGACCTGGCTCTTGTGTGAGAAGTCGAAACGCAACTTCTCATTGTCCACCAAGGAACCTTTCTGGTTGATGTCGTCCCCGAGAACCTCTCGTAGGGAGTGATTCAGCACGTGCGTTCCGGTGTGGTTGTTGCGGATGGGCGAACGGCGAAGTTCGTCGTACTCGCAAATAACCTCATCGCCTGACGACAACGCACCGTACTCAATGTAACCGCTGTGTAGAATGAAGCCACCATAATTTTGAACATCCATGACCTTGAATTCAACAACGTCGTCAATCACAATTCGGCCAGTGTCGGCGACTTGGCCACCAGATTCAGCATAGAAGTTGGTCTTGTCCAGCAGAATACCGATGGCAGTATTTTTTGGCAACTCTTTGGTAGAGTTGTGGAAGGACTTTCCATCAAAGATGAGCTGAACCTTGCCCTTGCTGTCCCCCTTCACAAACTTTGCATCGTCGTCTGTTCGAGCAACCTTTTGCTGGTCAAGCTGGGCGATCTGGTGAACATCAAGTTTGGCAAAGGTGTCAACGGACGCCTTGACAGCTTTGCTTGCTTCGCGGGCCTTCTCCCTGGCAACGCTGACTTCAATCTCATCGATCTCAAGACCACGCTCCTCGGCCATAATCTGGGTCAAATCAACGGGGAAACCAAAGGTATCATACAAGCGCCAGACAACATCACCATCAAGCTTCTTGACGCCATTTTTGGCCGCCTTGGCCGCATACTTTTCGAACTGGGCCTCGCCACGGTCCAGCGTGCGTGCGAAGGCCTCCTCTTCCTCATCAAGAATTTCCTTGATATCCAGCTGCTTCTTAACGAGCTCGGGAAACTGATCTCCCATGTGAGAAACGAGAGCGGGAAGGATTTTGGAAAAGAAGCTGCCGATTTCGGCCTTAAGGTACTTGCGCGCATATCGTACACCTCTTCTGAGAATTCGTCGGATAACGTAGCCGCGGCCGTCGCTGTTGGGAACGGCACCGTCTGTAATTGCAAAGGAAAGAGTTCGGATGTGATCTGCAATCACTCGGTAGGCGGTATCAATGCCATCAGCATCGTCCTTGCCGTACTTATCTGAGTACGGTCTTACGCCAGTGACTTCCTCAATCTGCTTAAATAGAGGGGTGAAGCAGTCCGTGGCATAGTTGGAGTCGGTCTCCTGGAGCGCGGAGACCATTCGCTCGAAACCCATACCCGTGTCAATGTGCTTTGCGGGCAAAGGCTTCAGGCTGCCATCTTTTTGGCGATCAAACTGCATGAAAACGAGGTTCCAAATCTCCACAACCATGGGGTCATCCTTGTTGACAATGTGCGCCGCATTTCGTCCACCAATTTTGTCGTAATGAATCTCACTGGAGGGACCGCAAGGACCCTGGTCACCCATTTCCCAAAAGTTGTCCTTCATATCTCCAGGAACGATCTGATCCTCGGGCATGCCGATGTCCAGCCATAACTGCTTAGCCTCGTCGTCCGGGGGCAGGCCAAGCTCCTTATTACCCTCGAAGTAGGTCGCATATAGTCGTTTAGGGTCGAGTCCATAGACCTTTGTAAGAATCTCCCAGGCCATCTCAATAGCCTCCTTCTTGAAGTAGTCGCCAAAGGACCAGTTGCCCAACATCTCGAAGAAGGTGTGGTGGTAGCTGTCCTTGCCGACATCGTCGAGATCGTTGTGCTTACCGCCCGCACGGATGACTTTTTGGGTGTCGGCGGCACGCTTGAGGTTGGCCATGGGATCGGACTGGTTAATGGTGCCGAGGAAGATGGGCTTGAACTGGTTCATGCCCGCGTTGGTGAAGAGCAAGGTGGGGTCATCGTAGGGAACGACAGAACCAGAAGGCACTGCATGGCGTTGGTTAGCATGAAGCTTTTTCGAACGACACAGTCATATGAAGAAAGTATTCAAACGTCGTAGTGAAAAAAAGTCTCGACACAAGTCCTTTTCGTCTCGGCTGGCATTTGACCGTGTGGCGAACCCTCTTGGACGACAGCCATCTGGGCCAGATGAAGGAGGGGCAATTTTGCATACCTATTGTATGACCCCGCTGCCGCATATAGTCAAAAAAGGCCTCGCGCACCAGCGCAGACGGCCATTTGAGCTCGCTCATGTTGGACGAAGATGATGATCGGCGCTGGTCAGAAATTGCAGCGGCGGGAGTGTGCAGTGATGCCGAGCGTGTCGCGCGTAACGTGTGGAATCTCAAAGTGCGGACTCGGCAGAGCTGCGGGTGGGTTTTGTAGAAACTTCTACAAGAATGAGTCAAGGCGGATGCGGAAGGGGCGAAAGGTACAAAGGGACCGGCAGCGCCTGCACCCGCCGCCGTCGCAGTCGCCGTCACAGTCACCATCTGTCCAACAGCTCGAGTCCCGCAGCCACCACCACCACCACCACCAAGGCCGAAGCCGCAGCTCCCAATAGCCCGCATCTGCCCGATCAATCAATCAATCAATCAATCAATCAGTCAGTCAGTCAGTTGTCGAAGCAATCCAGAGACGCAGGCAGCGCGACGTTGGTCTGCTCACGACAAGCCCAATTACGCAGACTTGACGCTCCCCAGCCCCCGTCACCCTCGGTCGGTATCGTCCTAATCCAGACGACGCTCCCGCAACTCATCCAGCAAAGTCGAAAAGTACCGAGTAAAACTCGCCGGGTTCACCAAGGCGCAACCTGCAGCGGCACCCTACCTGTTGCTGCTTGCACGTCCCCGGGAACCAGATTTCCACATCGATCGGCCGGTCGAGAGCGTGCGTGCGGTGTAGATGCAAATCTGACTCTGCGACGCGGCGTCGCGCTTGCGCAGGAGGAGGTGAAGAAATCGCAAAGTCGTTTTTCGAGCTCCAACCGTTGAGGCAGCACTTGAGATCAGGATGATGGTTCAGGGGGGCCCAGCTCACTTGTTCCCGCCCCAGTTCGCCGTGCCCACCGAAGCCCACCTGGCCCCAGGCGTCAACGGCACTACAAGCTTGCTGCCTCAGGGGAACGGCGTCAGCACTCCAGCGCCCGCCAGCGACACCACCATGCATGCGCAACCACCCTCGACTCTAGGCAAGAGGAAAGCAGAGACGCAAGACAATCAACGGCTTTCGAAGCGCTTGAGTCTGCTTAATCTAGGTATGGAAGAAATTCCAACTCCATCCATTTTTCTTTCTGGCTTTTATCTAACATGGGGTAATCTCACAGAACAATCCGGCAATAAGCTCTATGTTCCCGTTGAAACACCTCATCAACCCAGCGCAACTCGCGCAACACCATCTACCTCCCAGCCCTCCGAACACATGGAACTAGATGACTCTAAACATAAAGTATACATCTACAACTTAGACGACGAGCTCTCATCCGAAAGCGAGGACGAGGAAGGAAAACTCGTCTTCTTACCCGACATCGAGAAACACCTTCGTGAAACCCGTATCCCCAAACAGGTCCTGGCAAATCGCGACGGAGAGCTCGCAGGCATGCAGCTAGTCCTGTACAAGGATCCGACGTCGTTGTCAGTGCCGCAAGAGGAGGATAGTGTACGGAGGGCTGTTCTAGAGGCCAGGCAGCGAATGAGAGAGAAGCAGAAACTCGAGCAGAAGGGTGCCGCAACCACTACTACCGGTGCCAGCTACGGTGAGGACGGTGAAGCAATGGACATGGATTGATACCGGTCTGTCTTTTCCCCTTTTTTCTAATATTGGATGCAAGGTGTTTTGGTGCTTATATTATGTGTGTACAATATATACTCAGTAACGATTAATGTTGGCGTGCAGTTCAGAAATTCAAACCGTAATCTAGCCAATATCCGTGCCGAGTATCTGAGTATTCCAATCCGCTGATGCCAAAGCACAGAAACCAAACGCTACACCCAGCATATTCAATCTACCAGCATTTCTCTTGCCAAGTCTGCCACAAAAGACGGCATTATTGCCCAGCAGTAGCCACAGCAACAAACAACAAGTCATATGTCAAATCCGGCAAAAAAGCCAAACTACCGAGTAGGAGGCGCATACTCGGGCGCAGGGTTACTCTCCGGCATCCTATGCGTCGACGCCCTGGTCTGCGAAGGATCGACCTTGGAACCTCCCGGCGGACCGGAGTACATGGGCGGACGGTTGGGATCATACGCCGGCAGAGGCATGTCGTTCATGGGGTAGACGTTTTGGTAGCCGTTTTGCTGGGGCGGGTAGTAGCCGTATTGATGCTGGGGCCACTGCTCCTGGTAGGTCGATTGATGGGAACGACGACTAACAAGACACTGCGACTGGGTAAGTATTATTCTTTTTCGTCCTCGGGGGGTGAAGGGGACCGCGTATGTCGCGACGAGGGGTGCGTACTCTGTGATAGGCTAGTGGCTCGAGGCCCTTTCGAATGCGCGCCTTGGCGTGGTAGTACCCTCCTATGAGGTAGCCCATGATGAGCACGAAGATGACGAGGAAAATCACCCATCGCACAATGATGCCGGTCTATATGGGGAATTAACATGATGCGACAAGTTGTACACCGGCGACGGGAAGGCTCACCTTGGTATGCCACCACGGTACGTATATGTAGTCCCCATTTGTGTAAATCACATCTCTCGCAGCCACCGCCATGGTCGTGGCTTCGTCAATGTGTCCGACTATGGATGTTGCGTCCCGCGCGAGAAACTAAAAAAAGGGTCGTGTAATCAAGGGAGCTGTGTTTTTTTCGTCAGTGACGGTGCGGCGTAGATAAACGGTTTCGACGCAAGGGGCCGGACGAAATAGCAAAGGAGAGAACAGTGATGGCAAGTTCCGATTTAAAACAGAGCGGAGGGATTGTAATGGCCACCGGCAGCACAGCAACCCCGTGGTGGCTGTGTGTGGGCTTTTGTCCGTCACTTGTGTCCTGCGGCACCCCAAGTCACAGAGATGTGAGGTGTCGTGTTTCACCCTTGGCAACAGCAGAATTGATGGGGCGGGCCGCAATTCAGGTCGTGGCTGCCGTGCTCAATGCAGAGACATCTGGAGCGTCGGGCCACTTGGTTGGCCCCAGGTGCCAGATTTTGACGTGTCAGCGGACGGCCGACCACTGGCCCCTTGGAACACGGAAGCGTGCAAGTGTCTGACGTACGTGCCTTTGGCACTTGGCAGGTACGTACTAGGTGCCGGTGGAAGGCTTCAATCCGAGCTTCAGCACCTTGCATGTTGTTCTGCATTCTAATCACAGACTGCCATGGATTGCTGCAAATGGAAGCAGCTGATTATCCAAGTCGCCCCGAAGGGCGCGATGCCATAGTATATGCCAACACCATGCATGGTCTATTTGCGTGGCTGTCACTCCCCTGAGGGCCATGTCATCACCCTCTCGGCCAGGCCCTGACCGTCGCCGTCCACCAATTTGGGAAGAATGCTTCACTCAAACACCTCGCACTTCTTGCACATGTCCCGTTACCCAGAATGTTTGGTGCCTTGCGGAGTAATGAACGATCAATTGATCTAATCCGCAACTCGGCTTGGCATCCGTCCGCCATGGTGAAACGAACATTGAACCTTCGGAAAAGTCGGCAGCTACTGCCAACATCTTCTACCATCACAGGGCCTACCAATGACGGGGCTGCGAGACCACCGTGACATCTTCACTATACGGACACATTTCAGCATGCTTATACGATTTACTCCCAAAATGGCAAAAAGTCCGTACGACGGCTCAATGGCCATCCAATGAATTCTCTACGAATGTCATCGAATCATCGCTGAAATGCTGCCCAAACGCCCGCCCCAGTCATAGTCTATATACACGTGTCCAAAGTATTTATAAGCCCATCCCCCCAGCAGCCCACCCGCCAAACCCATCAAACCGGTTTGCGGGATTCCCAGCCGGCCCTGGAACCGGTTGTTGCGGTTGCTGGCCCTGGCCCTGAGCTTGACCATGTCGCCTCGCTTCCTCCGCTTGTGCGTGAGCTTGCTGCATTCTCTGTCGGTACCACAGAAGCAACACCAGAGAAAAGGTGATGCCAACAATGAGGATGCTTTCTACAACACCGCCCGCGTCAAGGTAGTCATCATCTCCGACATCCAGAGTATCATCATCCATGTAATCCCCGTACAGTGCTTCGTCGTCGTAGTATTGGTCGTCTTTCATAAAGTTGGCGATCCACTCTGCTAGTGACCAGTCTTTGCTTTTGCCTGCAGACACATGTTAGCCCGAACAAAAGACTGAGATTGCGGGACAATACTTATACTCACTGGGTTCGTCCTGGATGGAATGAACGTCACCATGTGTAATCGTGTTCCAGGCACTTCGAATTCGAAGCTTAAGAAGGCTCAGCGTTACAGGGAGGTATGCCTCCTCGTTCACCTCCAGTGCTTGGTCATAGAATCTCTTGGCCAGGTGGAAATCTTGCTCAAGGCCAATACCGTTCTCATGCATCCATCCGAGATTGAACAGGGCTTGGGCACTTTGCGAGTACTCCGACGCTCCGGTATAGCACTGCACAGCCTTGCCGACATCAGCTTTGGTGCCGATACCATAGAAGTAATAGTCACCCATTTTGACCAACGAGTCGATGTTGGCCTGTTTCGATGATCGGGTCCAGTGGATAAGAGCTAGACTTGGGTTGTTCAGGAGAGTTCCTTTGGTATGTGACCTGCCCAGCCACAACGATTTCTTCTCCGACTCGGCCATGTCCAACATGTAAGCCACATTGTTTTGTGCTCTCTCATAGCCCTGCTCAGCTGCCATTAGATATTCAAGGAAGGCCACTTCATAGTCCCCAGCATCATAGGCGTCATTTGCATCTGCCCACGATGAGACCAGCGGCTCTGCCTTCTCTGCAACATTCTTGTAGTAGCCCAAGGCCATATTGCAGGCCTTTTCGCGCCCTACACCATTATATATCATTTCCGCCAGATAGTAATGGGCTTCAATGTTTCCATATCTAGCCGCGAGTTCGAAGAAGTTGCTTGCCACTCGCAGGTCCTCGGCTTCGCCTTGATCAAGGTACAGTCGCCCAATCTCAACCTGAGCTGGGGCATAGTCTGCCGCTGCTGCAAGTTGGAAAAGCTCCGAAGCCCGCTGGACGTTCTCCTTGACGCCTAGGCCGTTTAGTAATATCAAACCCATCCCATACTGCGACTGGGCGTCGTTGAGCTTGGTCCCTCGCTCGAACCATACTTTAGCTCTTTCAAAATTTTGCGGCAGGCCTTCTCCTCGCAAGTACATGCGACCGATGAAGCCCGCTGCTTTGGCAGCGATTTTATCGGTGCCCGGCTTTGCGTTATCCACAAGCGTACCGTCTCTTTTCCAGTATCTAGAGGCAACCAAAAAGAAGTATTTCTTTGCAAGGCCATAGTCGTGTTCGAGTCCCCTCTGTCCGTCGTAAAATATTCTCCCCAGATTCAGAGAGGCTTTAATGTCGCCTTTTTGCGACATGAGGTCCAGGTATTCGATAACGTCGCTAATGGCAGCGTTCGCATCAGAGTGTACGCTCACCTTACGTGCGTTCAGTCCAGAGCTTGCCGCGCTAGCGCCCTCGCCGTAAACACCGCCGTGGTCGTCCGCAATTCGCCATCCTTGGTAAATCCAGGTCACGCCGCCGGGGGGGCCAGATCGGTGCCATTGAATGGCCTTGTCGGCCACGCGCTTGTAATATTTAACCGCTACTTCACAGCTCTTGGAAGCTCCAATGCCAATGTGATGCCTGAAAGCGGTAGCCATGGCGGCCCGAGTATCGCCGCGGAGAGCTGCAAACGTGTAGTAAAGCAGGGCCTTGGCCTGATCTCGCGGAACTACGTCACCAAGACCCGTTGAATGGAAGAGCCCCAGCATATATTGCGCAGTCGTGTTGCCATAAGAGCTGGCCAGGTGGTTGTAATAATTATATGCGGCGTGAAGGTCTCTCGTATGGCTGTGGTTTCCAAAGAAATTCAATTCTGCTAGTAGATATAGGGCATCGGAATTGTTCTGGTATGCGGCCTTTTCCAACAAATCGACAGCCTTTGCCAGAGGGCCGGTTGCGGCGGACTTTGATTGCTGTTGCTGCTCCTGTGAGGGGGCCGTCGCGGGTCCTGTAGGGAGGGTGTTTAGGATGTATCGGACAACGGTTCCGACTATGCCGGATGACTGCTGTCTTCGGTGTTGCGATGATCGCGATGCTTTACTCAGTTGGGATAGCGCAGCGTCGACGAATTCGGCTCCTATGCTGAGTCAATGACTTGAACAGTCGTCGGCATAAATATGTCGGGGATTCGTGGACAAACCTGGTTGCCGAACCGGCGGTTGGACATGCTCCGTCTCAACATCTGTCTTGGGACCAAGTCCATGGTTCTTCGGTTCCCTCCATGGCGTATTTTCCCCATGGTTATCTTTATAATATTGCGCGTTCGTTCCCAGAACAAAAGCGGCCTGCGGAAGCACTGCCAAGGAGACATGTGAGCAAGCTGGTGGCAGGTGCAATAACGGACACAATGGCAAAGCGACTTACGAAGAAGCCATATGGCTGAGCTCCTCATGTTAGGCAAATGCTATGTGCCAGAAATTGATGATCGGATGCAAAGCATAGCGAGTCCAACTCACGGGATTGGGCAAGGTGGCGATGCGATGAGGGTTGACGTTGGCAAAAAGGTGGCCTCGAAGCTGTCGGTCCAGAGCTAATACAAGCTGTCCACTTCTCTCATCGCACACCAGTCTCCCTCGAATCAGA